GAGAGAGAGAGAGAGAGAGACAAAGAGAGAGGAATATGTGAATGTTAATGTACAGATTTATAGGCACATGGCAGGGGGCATCAGTGCAGTCTGTGAAGGTTGGCCTCAGTTGATCTGAATGTATGAAGAATACACTGGGGGCAGGTGTGGGGAAATGGTGCTCGAGGGGGCACTGAAGGCAAGTCTAGCGACGATGGTGGACCAGGGTGCCCTGGAGCCCAAGGGCAAGTGTGGAGCTCTGGGGGTGGGTGTGGTCATAACTGCCCCAGCCTGGCTACACTCAGCTCTCTTCTCCCTGCCGATCCCTCAGCCCTGTCTGCAGTACTGGCCCGAGCCAGGCCGGCAGCAGTACGGCCTCATGGAAGTGGAGTTTGTGTCAGGCACTGCAGATGAGGACTTGGTGGCCCGTGTCTTCCGGGTGCAGAACATCTCTCGGGTGAGCAGTCTGAGGAGTCCAGGGTGAGGGTGGATGTGGTGGTTTGGGTAGCTTAGGACTTTGTCTCAAGGGCGTGGGGTTTCCTGTGATGTGGGTGTTTGTTTCTCCCTGTCTGGCTGTCACAATTGCAGCTGCAGGAGGGGCACCTGCTGGTACGGCACTTCCAGTTCTTGCGCTGGTCCGCGTACCGGGACACCCCTGACTCCAGGAAGGCCTTCCTGCACCTGCTGGCGGAGGTGGACAAGTGGCAGGCGGAGAGCGGGGACGGACGCACCGTTGTGCACTGTCTGTGAGTGCCATCCCTAGGGGAAGGGGGGAGAGGGCCAGGAGCCAGGGCACGGGTCCAGCCTTAAAGAGCCCCAATACCCCAGACCCCTGGGCTCGCTCCACGGAGACAATAGCCAGGCCTCTGCTCATCCAGCCAAGTTTGCCTTGCCTGCAGGAACCCAGCTTCAGCAGGTACTCTGTGTTACCTTTGACTTTGCTAACTAGAGAGTTCTGTGGACACAGAACTTTCCATGCTGGTAGCATGCTTCTTTTTTGGCCAAAGGAATTCCCATTTTTGTTATTGTATACATATACCTCTTTTATGAATCCATCCATCCATCCATCTGCCATCATTCATAAATTCATTACTCACTTATGTCTGATGCAGCCACTCCCTTGTACCCAGTTTTTCTTTTTTGTGTGCTTTCAGCACTAGCCCCTTCAATGTCAGCTGGGGCATCCTGAATGCTGGGGAAGTTATTGTAAAGAAGAGGGCTGAGGCCATAGCCAGAGTCCTGACCCCAGAGACACCTGCACACAGGGAGTGGAGAGAGGTTGACAGGGTGACTTGGAGTGTGTATGTGTGGACACACTGTAGGTTGTAGGGGAAGTAACTCGTCTTAAGATTGGTTTTCCATTTTCCTCTTTGAAGCCTGCTCACTGCCCTTTTATCCTTCTCTAGTACTGATTTTATCTCCAAGTCTTACTTTTGGGGTGTGTCTGGCCTCCTTTCTCAGAATGTTTCACCTTCAGCGTCTTCCTCCCTATTGGTAGCCTCTGACTCCGCCCCATTAGCGTCTAGGCCCCGCCTCAGGCTCCCGGACTCTTCCCTTCACCTTTGGGTTCCTAGTCCTGACCCCTTAACTTTTCATTTGTCTCATTTAGAAATGGGGGAGGCCGCAGTGGCACCTTCTGTGCCTGTGCCACGGTCCTGGAGATGATCCGCTGTCACAACCTGGTGGACGTTTTCTTTGCTGCCAAAACGCTTCGCAACTACAAGCCCAATATGGTGGAGACCCTGGTGAGGGGCCACTCCCTGTGTCTAGCTGCTCGCACCTTTCTAGTACTTGCCTGGCCAAGGCCCCCAGCTCTGCTCTCCTGGTCCCCACGGTCAGGTCTTGGGTTCTGCTCTCTAATGTCAGAACTTCACACCCATTTTCCTTCTTCCCTTGCTTAGTCCCCTTTCCCCTTCACCCCGCCCCTCTTCTTACTGGGGTGAGTCTTGCTTCCTGATTCCTTCTCTCCCTCTCCCCCACCCAGGACCAGTACCACTTTTGCTATGACGTGGCCCTGGAGTACCTGGAAGGTCTAGAGGCGAGATAGCAGCCCCTGACCCGGGCCACCACTGCACACTCAGGGCCAGGCCGGCCACCCAGGACTGACGCGGAGGACCTGCGCCTCCAACTCTGCTCGGTCACTGCCTCTGCAGGAGAAGCAACATAGGAGGCTCCAGGACGTTTTGGTGGCCCTTCCTCTGTGGGTGGGGCTCTTCACCATTTCCTGGGGCAGGTCACCGGCCATGGAGGTGTTTGGGCAAGGCTGCAGCCCTTTCTCGCCTCCATAGGGTTCTGTTGGCCTCTGCCAAGAGCCTGGCGTGGCTTGGAGGAACTGACAGGGACTCAGATCTGCCAGCTCTGGGGGACCTAGGTCCCAGTCCCTTGACTTTATCTTGACCCCTGGCAGAGATGGGTGTGACCCAGCCAAGGGCTGCAGTTTCCACCCAGCCTGGCTCTGTGGGATAGCACTGGGCTTGGCCTCTAGGATCCCATCAACCTGTGAGGGTCGTGAGGATACTTACCTGACCGGCCAGCTTTCACATGCAGACCGCCCTTCTTGGTGGGGATCTGCAGCTCCCTCCATTACCTTCTGCCCCTGCAGCCCTGGAGACATCTGCTCATGGCCACTCTCCACTTCTGCTTCCCTGATGTGTGCTCTGAGCTTCCCTCAATCTGGCTGCTCCTACCTGCCCCACGTGGGTGCACTTCCCTGCCTGACCCACCCTCTTCAGAATGAAGTCACCTTGGCCTCCTCTTCCCATACCTGCAGGCTTCACTGGCCTAGCTCTGCTCAGTCTGGGCCAGTCACCAAATCATGGTGAACAAATCATGATGTAAATTCCTTGTGGCTCTTTGGGGAGGGGGCGGTGCCAGAGCAGGGGTGCAAATGACCCCTAGAATTTGGAGGAAGAAGGCGTATTTTGGGATGGAGGATCAATGCTTTTTTGTTCGTTTTGTTGTTTTATGATGGGTGGATGGGAAGCTCCCTTTAAAATGGGGCAGGCCATACCCCCATTCTGTGCCTCAATTTCCCCATCAGTAAACTGTAGATATGACTACTGACCTACCTCACAGGGGGCTGTGGGGAGGCATAAGCCCATGTTTGTAAAGTGCTTTGTAAATAAATGTGCTCTCTGAATGCCACAGAGCTGCCCAGCGTGTCTGACTAGCCTGCCTGCAGCCCATTCACCTTCTCCCAACTAACCTGTGGAGTGGGAGAGCCTAGCCTGGGCTTCAGCTTCTGGGATGGCCTCTGTTTTACATCCATAAAGTGAGGTGTAAATCAGAGCATTGCTCAGGGTGCCTGTTTTTAGTGGTGGTTCTGGGAGGCCTGCAGTACACTTCTGCCTAGGCCCTGAAGCACTTCCTCAGCCAAAAGGGTTTTATCTTTAATTTTTTTTTTAAAAAAAATAATGTTTTATTGTACTTTTACTAAAAGTTTTCACCACAAATTAAGCTCCTATTTAATATTTCTATGTAGTTTGTTAGAAGAGCCTCTTCCTTGGAGGACATCATGCTTGGAAAGGTGGAAGGTTGGCAAAAGAGAGGAAGGCCTCCAACCAGATGAGTTGACACAGTGACTACAGCAATTAGGCTCCATTGTGTCAGAAATTGCGTAGATGGACAGGGTACAGATCTGTTGTTCATAAAATTGCTATGGGTCGTACTTGAGAGCACCTAATAATAACAACAACAACAGTATAACTTTTGTTTGGTTATATTTTACACAATATGTCAGCTTTCCCATTATTTCCTTTCTGATTGTTCTGTTTCCAGGAATCTAGTTACTCTGCCCCTTGGCCTCTGGTTTGAAGTAAATATTGACTGTTTGGTCCCATATAGATAATTTTTTTTAAAGGAGCGCAACATCACAAATGATACTTATTTTTGTGAGACAATCTGTTATTTAGCTGAAAGATAACCTCACAGAATAGTTTTGGTTCAACATTTAAAGAGTGTCTTAGGGTGAAAGTCTCAGGGACTTCTCCAGCTTCAGTGCAGCATATCTGGAACTTTGAAGCAGTTGTTGCACATTTGCCCCCATTTTATCAGGATCCATTTATTGTGTTCCTGGTCAGAATGGTTGTTTTTGATAGACGTGTTCCTGGTCTCCAAGTAGATGAGGCCATGTTCCAGGCAGACTGTTGATGCCATGGACCAGTTTCTTCTCTGAAGCTTTGGCTTAATTCTCTTTAATTCCACAGTGCGAGAGGCCAATGCTTGTATCTTACATTGCCATTTATATGCTTTTAAGACCTCAGATGCTACTAATAAAACTAAGATATAGAACATAAACCTTATGCACTATGCCAGTTAACTCCATTGTCACATAGGACCATGATCCTAAGCCTTCATATTCTGTAATTCAATCCTGTGAGGTGTTTAAGAAGGTCAATGCTTATGTCCTCTATGTGCGTTATTGTATATTTGAATATATGTAGATACATATATTTATATATAGATATATGCTTATATGCTCCCATATGAATACATATACATACTTATACCCTTTTAAAAAAACAAACCTATACTTGGAGCAGGTGGCAGTCATCAGAATAGAGCAAGGAAACACTGCATGGTTCAAGATCAGGGAGGATGTACACCAGAGATGCATCTTATCTCCATACTTTTTCAGTCTATATGCAGAACAGATCCACCAGGAGTCTGGGCTCTATGAGGAGGAATGTGGAATCAGGATTGGAGGAAGATTCATCAACAACCTGTGTTATGCAGATGACAAAACCCTGCTTGCTGAAACTGAGGAGGACCTGAAGCATTTGCTGCAGAAGGTCAAGGAGTGCAACCTTAAATATGGATTGAAGCTCAATATAAAAAAAACCAAACAAACAAAAACCAACCAAGGATTCTCACCACTGGGCTGATTTGCAGCATCATGATCGATGGTGAAGAGATTGAGATTGTTGATTTTTAATAGCTTTAGTTTGCCTGGCTCCACAATCAGCATTCTTGGCACCAGCAGCCAGAAAATTAAAAGACATATTGCATTGGGAAAGTCTGCTGTCTGATATCTCTCCAAAGTACTGAAGAGCAATGATATCAGTCTGGAGACTAAAGTGGGCTTGATACAGGTCATGGTCTTTGAAATTGCTTGCTATGCATCAGAAAGCTGGACAACAACTAGGGATGATAGAAGGAGAATTGATGCCTTTGAACTGTGGTGTTGGAGAAGAGTATTGAACATACCATGGACTGCTAGGAGAACAATCAGGTTATTCCTGGAGAGGGTGAAACCAGGCTGCTCCTTGGAGGCAAGGATTCTGAAGCTTCATCTGACATGCTTTGGACATGTTGTAAGGAGGCACCAGTTGTAGGAGAGGAACATTGTTCTTGGGAATGTGGAGGGACAACACAAGAGAGGAAGATCATCAATGAAATGGATTGATTCAGTGACTGGGGTAATGGGAATAGGTGTGTCAGAGTCAATAAGGTGGGTAGGTTCAGAACTGTTGTACACAAGGTCACTATGAGTTGCAAGTGACTTGACTGCACATAACAACAACAATTATATATGTATATTTCATCTTTCAATGGTATTTCTCAGCGGTATACAGCTGATGACATGCCAAGAATCACTCAGGAATTACAGGTTGGCAGTGGTTGCCCTCTTCCTATCTTTCCTGATCACACTTAGTTTTTAAACCCTAATAGTAAATGACTGCTTAATAATGTCATTGTTGGAATACAAATTGCTTGACTAATCAGTCTACTTAACTATTTTTCTGTAAATGTAATTAATCATTTTTAGTTTTAAAAGTTAAACCACTTTTGAATTTACGGAAATAAGTTTACTGTGGTGTATTATTTTTCTTATATCTTAACAGGTTATTTCTGAAAACATTTTTTTAGTGTAGTTCATAGGGAGTTGTGCTGCTGTAAATTCAAATCTCCCAGCTGCTCCTCCAGAGAAGGATAAGCAATCTCCTCCAACACAATTCCCAACCTTGGAAAACCCACTGGAGGGTCAGCTTTGACTCGGCTCCAGCTCTATGCCAGTGAGTGGAGAGTACTATGCTGTTGTGTTGTGTGTCGTGGTGTCGAATCTGACTCATAGCTGTCCCTCCAGTGGGTTTACAGAAGGCAGCAAATCACATGGGAGGAGAATGCCCATCTCTCTCCCACAGAGCAGCTTGTGGATTCAAACTGTGTGCCTTCAGGATTACAGTGCAGCTTCTTACCACTAGGCCACCAGAGCTCCTTAGTAAATTATTGTTGTTACTGACCATCAGGTCAGAACTGGTCCATAGCTGACCCTCTGGTGGCTTTTCAGAGGCTGAAAACAGCACAAAAGGAGCTTGCCAATCTTTCTCCTGGAGTAGCTGGAGAAATTCACATTGTTCACCTTTGGGTTGGCATCACAACTCCTTACCCACATGGCCAGCACAGCTCCCTTCTTGAAGCAGGGAAGCTCTTGAAGAGGAGCCACGCTGTAACACTCTGGATGAACACTGCATTGGAAGTCTGTATTTGTTACCTGTGTGAAGCACTTAACTTCTACGAGCTTTGTCTCTTTAAAAACAAAAGAATAACACTAGCATTGGCAAGTTCAGAGGATTAGTGAGCAACTCAAATAGGATAAACAACATTATCCTATTTGTAAAATGCTATAGAAATAGAGTATATTATTTATTTTTATGTCTCCAACAGAGCACCCTGGAAAGCATTCAGGGAGTAAGAAAGAAAAGGATGTCACAGCTACTGGTTGCTTTTTAATTCCATCTTAATGAATATCCCCTAGCTAATCTGCAGTCACAGTGCAGTCACATTAATATGGAACTTACAATTCATAAACTGATACAGCAGCTTGGAAAGGCTTTAATCAGTCGCTTTCACTCTTAATTATTTTAAAACCTCAATAATGGTAAAATGAGCCGCATGGCAGTTTAATTAATTTATATGAAGCCCAAAGGTCCTGAATGAGCAGTGAGTTCATGAAATCTGAGGGTCTGGCAGAAGCACGTCAGGCGTGAACAGGTATGTAGGCTGCTTCCTATTGATTCCTCTCAAGTCAGCCTCTTTCCTTTGTGC